TACGTGACCATATGTCGAAAAAGTGTCAAGTTAAAATGAGGTCATTAGGGTGGGCCCCAATCCAGTATGACTGGTATTTTTATAAAAGAGGAAATTTGGACACAGACACACACAGAGGAAAGACCGTGTAAAGACACAGGGAGAAGACGGCCATCTACAAGCTAAGAAGAGAGGCCTTAGAAGAAGCCAACTGTGGTGATGCCTTGATCTCAGACTTCTAGCCTCCAGAACTGTAAGAAAGTAAATTTCTGTTTGTTAAGACCCCCAGTCTGTGGTACTTTGTTATGGCAGCCCTAGCATATTAATATAATACTTTATTCCTTTTTATAGCTGAATGATATTCTGTTGTAGGCAATTAAATTTTTTAAATTGAAATATAATTGACTTACAATGGGCAATTTTTTTTTGTAGTAATGAAAGATGAAAAATACCCAAATGTCTAAGAATAGAGGACTTGTCAAAGAAATTACTATCCATACAATGGGGTACTATGCAGATGTTAAAAAAGAATAAAGGCGCTCTCTGTGTCATGGTTCTCAAAGTGTGGTCCTCAGGCCAGTGGCAGCATCACCTGGGAACTTATTAGAAATGCAGGTTCTCAGGCTCCATCCCAGAATCAGATCTGCGCGAAAGCCTTCCAGGTGATGCTGATGTGGGGCTCAAGCTTGAGATCTACTGCTGTATATAACGATGCAGCCCGTGGGTTCACAGCAGGCCTGAGGTGCTTTTTTTAAAACATCACTGCCTGGGTCCCATCCCCAGAGATTCCAATGTAGTAATTGATTTGCAGCAGATTCTGGGCATCGATTCCTCATTTACAAGTGACTCTAATGTGCAGCCAGGAATGTGAACCACTGATAAGGAGCAAACTCTCGCAGATAGAGTAAGTGCAAAAACCTAGGTGAAAAAAAGCTACGTTCCAGAATATTCTTTGCAGGATTGTTGTGATGGTTAAAAAATTGGATAATGGGGCTTCCCTGGTGGCGCAGTGGTTGAGGGTCCGCCTGCCGATGCTGGGGACGCTTGTTCGTGCCCCGGTCCGGGAGGATCCCGCATGCCGCGGAGCGGCTGGGCCCGTGAGCCGTGGCCGCTGGGCCTGCGCGTTCGGAGCCTGTGCTCCGCGGCGGGAGAGGCCACAGCAGTGAGAGGTCCGCGTACCGAAAAAAAAAAAAAAAAAATTGGATAATGGAGAAAAAAATTGGGCTGTATATATGTGCAGTGAAATACTGAAGGGCAGGACAGATGAAAGTTAAAAGGATATATACATTCAGATACCGTGTATATTGTTTTAAACAAAACAATTTTATGTATCTTTTCTGAATGGACACATATACAGTAAAACTATGAATACAGGCCTGAGGATTATAATTGGCAAATTCAGGGATTAGGGACAAGTATAGAGTCAGTTTCTCTCATATCTGTGATCTTTTATTTCTTAATTGTGGTAATGAGTACAGAGGTGTTTGTTATATTTTTATCTCTCTATATTATATATTTATATTACTTATATATATATTACTATATACTTATCTATACCTATCATATATTTATCTATACTTACTTGAATGCCCCAAATCACTTAAAAAACAAGGGGCAGAACAAAGGTATTGATTGCTTTCATTTGTGCTTTTTTCTTAAGGTTTTTTTTTTTTTTGCATTGAATTTTTAAACTCTAAAGGGACACCGCCCCCTCCCTCCTCCACCCCCCCATCTCATCTGCCTATTTAAATGTCCCTCCCCAAGAGGAGAATCCTGCTGCTCTTTTCAGTGTGCAAATACAATTAAATTGTACCTGTAGGGGCTTCCCTCGTGGCGCAGTGGTTAAGAACCCACCTGCCAACGCAGGAGACACGGGTTCGAACCCTGGTCAGGGAAGATCCCACATGCTGCAGAGCAACTAAGCCCGTGCGCCACAACTACTGAGCCTGCGCTCTAGAGCCCGTGAACCACAACTACTGAAGCCCGCCCGCCTAGAGCCCGTGCTCCCAACAAAAGAATCCACCACAATGAGAAGCCCTCGCACTGCAACTAGAGAAAAAAGCACGTACGAAGATCCAATGCAGCCAAAAATAAATAGATAAATAAATAAATTTTAAAAAATTGTACCTGTAAATTCTTATCCCTTTTCCCCCAAACGTCAGCACCTTCCTGTGCAATTTTTTAACTTCATTTTTCTTAGCTATATTTTCCATGCTGAAACTTCAAGAGTGTCGCAGCCCCGAACAACTGTGTGGGATTATGGGATTATGCCCGGGTGAGTCTACGGAAGAGAGAAGTCCGCGTGGCTGGAGGGAGTGAGAAAACGGGGAGAGAGTGCGGAGAGACGAGGGTGGGGTGGTGATGGGAGCACACAGGGTGGGGCCTGCTGGGCTTCAGGGAGAATTTTGGCTGTTAATCTCAGTGAGGTGGTTCCCGGAGGAGCCCTCTGGGTGCTGTCGGAGGAACAGACTTTGAGAGAGGGAGGAGGCGGGAGCTGGGGTACCAGGGCGGAGGGACTGCACTGGTTCAGGTGGGAGATAATGAGGATTATGTCCAGGTTGGGGACCGAAGAGAGAGTGAGAAATGGGCGGATTCTGGGTAGATTCTGAAGTGGAAGGGACTTGCAGTCATATCAAATTGGGGAGGGGGTGGAGTCAGAGAAAGAGGGGGCTTAAAGATGCTGCCAAGTTTGGAGCCTCAGCACCTGGCAGGACAGCGCTGCCATTAGCTGCGTCTAGAGGACAGCGGAAGGGCTGGTTGGGGGACGCTCAGGGGCTCGGATGTACTGGGGTCAGTGGGAGTTGCCCGCGCACCTCCAGGTGAGGCGTCCGGGAGGCAGTTGTCCAGGGCACGGTCGCCGTGCAATCCTGAGAGTTGCCGCCAGAGGGCAAGCGCACCCCATCGCACTCGCAGCTCCGGGGGGCACGGGAAGGACCGGCCCTGCAGCATCTCAGGGCCCTGGGGCCTACAGCTCCTCACCTGGGCGTGAGGTGGGGGCCGCGCAGGTGCCAGGGCCAGGACTGGAACCCCCAGGCGCCTCCAGGGCCCCAAATCCTGGGACGGGGCTGTTTATGTGCTTCCAGCACTCCAACCAGCACTCCCCACGGGGCTGTTCCCACAGCACCTAGGGTCTCTGCAAAAATGTCACTTCCACAGAAAGACCTTCCCCGACCACCCTGGAGTCAGAAACCCCCACCCCGATTCCTCTAAGGCACATTCCATTTTATTTTATTTATTTATTTTTTGCGGTACGCGGGCCTCTCACTGTTGTGGTCTCTCCCGTTGCGGAGCACAGGCTCCGGACGCGCAGGCTCAGCAGCCATGACTCACGTGCCCAGCCGCTCCGCGGCATGTGGGATCTTCCCGTACCGGGGCACGAACCCACGTCCGCTGCGTCGGCAGGCGGACTCTCAACCACTGCGCCACCAGGGAAGCCCAGGCACATCCCATTTTAGGATCTTCGTAACACTTAAGACTCTGAAATCATCTTATCTTGTGTTATCTGTTTTCTACAACGTAAAGTCTGTGGCAGCGAGGACCCATTTTCTGTGTTGTCCTCCTGTATCCCCAGGGCTCAGACTTATTCCTGGCCTCTAATGCATAGCTTATTAATCATAGCTTATTCGTGGTGCTACTGTGTACCAACCTCTGTCTGAAGCTCCTTACATAAATCATCTCCAGTCTTCAGAACAACCCTACCAAGCAGAGACTGCCTTTTCTGTTTTATTTTTTGTTTTGTTTTGCTGGTGCCTCTAGGCTTGCAGGATCTTAGTTCCCTAACCAGGGATAGAACCTAGCCCTGGCAGTGAAAGCACCGAGTCCTAACCGCTGGACCACCAGGGAATTCCCCCAAGTAGGGACTGTTGTTATCCCCATATTACAGAAGAGGAAACTGAGGCCCAGAGAGGTTTAGGGACTTGAGATTGCATAACCAGGGAGTTTCAGTGTTGAGTTTGAAGCCTGAGAAGCATAACTGCAAAGTCTGAGTTTGCTAAATGGAAGAATGGGGCCCTGATGGGAAAGGAGTCCCTTAGGGCATTCAGCATTGTGCCCCTAAGCCCCTGCCTCTCCACCTTTCCTTTCTGGTCTCCACAGCTGACAAACTGGAAAGCCCAGCCCCCAGATCCCCTGCCAGGCTAGGGGGAGGGGTGGGAACCCAGCAGGTAAGGGGTTTACTCTCTTTCCTATTGCGGGTTTGCAGAGGTGCCTCCCAGGTTACCCAGGTTGGGGGCAAGCCATTAAAGGTGGATCTGGGGGCTTCCCTGGTGGGCCAGTGGTTAAGATTCCATGCTCCCAGTGCAGGGGCCAGGGTTTGATCCCTGGTCAAGGAACTAGATCCCGCATGTCACAACTAAGATCCTGAGTGCTGCAACTAAGACCCGGCACAGCCAAATACATAAATAAATGAACAGTAAGAACAAAACAAAGCAAACAACAAAAAAGTTGGATCTGGGGACTTCCCTGGTGACCCAGTGGTTGGGAGTCCGCCTGCCAATGCAGGGGACACGGGTTCGAGCCCTGGTCCGGGAGGGTCCCACATGCCGCGGAGCATCTAAGCCCGTGCGCCACACTACTGAGCCTGCGCTCTATAGCCTGTGAGCCACAACTACTGAGCCCGTGTGCCTACAGCCTGTGCTCTGCAACAAGAGAAGCCACCGCAATAAGTCCGCACACTGCGATGAAGAGTGGCCCCTGCTCGCTGCAACTAGAGAAAGCCTGCGCGCAGCAACGAATACCCAACGCAACCATAAATTATTTTAAAAAAAAAAAAAAAAAAGGTGGATCTGGAGGGAGTTCCCTGGTGCCCTTAGTGGCTAGGACTCAGCGCCTTCACTGCCTAGGACCCGGTTCAATCTCTGGTCAGGGAACTAAGATCCTGTAAGCCACGCAGCTCAGCCAAAAAAAAAAAAGGGGGGGGGATCTAGAGAGCACAGATTCCACCTACCAGACAGCAGGGTTGGCTGCCCAGGACCCTGAGCCCAGTCCCAGACTGACCAACACACAGAAAGACAGACAAACAGATGATCCTCAGCCAGCTGACCACTCTCTTGATCCTGCTCAGTGGGGCCTGGCTGCCCACAGGCTCAGGGAGGCCTGGACCCCTAGGCCTCCCAGCTCAGCCCCAGGCTGCTGCCAATGAGACCCAGTCTCTGGGTCAAGGGGCCCCAGCTTTCCCAGTGCCATCCTCTGCCCTCGGCAGCTGGAAGGCCTTCTTGGGCCTGCAGAAAACTGGGCAACTGGGGACAGGCAGGATGCAGCATGGGCAGGATGTGGCCATCACTGTCTCTGCCACTGGACCCACAGGAAGTGGCCCAGGAGATGTGCAAAGCTGTGCCCTTCACTCAAGTATGGGAAGGAGAGGGCTGGGTTTCAGTGTTGATAGAGCACAGGCTGTGGCACCAGACAGATTTGAGGTCAACCCTGCATCCTTCACCCAAATGTCTCTGATCTTCCGTTTTCTCCCTTGTAAGATGGGGCATAAGCATCTCCCACCTGGGCCAATGCAAGTGCTGCCATCTTGGTCTCCCAGCTTCTGCTATGGCCACCCTGTCTCCTGAGTCTAGTTTTCCATCTAGTGGCCAGAGGGCATGTGGGAACACCTGAGTCTGATCACATCCCTCCTCTGTTCAGAACCCTCCATGGCTCCCACTTCACTCAGAGTGAACGTCCAAGTCCTTCCTGTGGCCTACGAGGCCCTGCACAAAATGCCTGTCATCTCCTGCCCTTACCTCCTCCCACTCTCCCCCTCACCCACTTTCCTCCCGCTGCACCAGCCATCTTGCTTTTCTCCAGACACACCAACATTATGTGTACCTCATGTCCTTTGCACTGGCTGTTCCCTTTGCCTCTAGCACTCCCCACCCCCAGCATTCTATGGTTCCTTCTCTCACCTCCTCCAGGTTTTTACTCAGATGTTGTTTTAAAATGTTCCCCCTTTCTGCTTTATTTCTCGCTGTAGTTCACATCATCACCTAACAAATGAAATTGATTTTTTTTTTTTTTTGCAGTACGCGGGCCTCTCACTGTTGTGGCCTCTCCTGTTGCGGAGCACAGGCTTCGGACATGCAGGCTCAGCGGCCATGGCTCACGAGCCCAGCCGCTCCATGGCATGTGGGATCTTCCCGGACCGGGGCACGAACCCGTGTCCCCTGCATCGGCAGGCAGACTCTCAACCACTGCGCCACCAGGGAAGCCCGGGCAGAGATATTTATATCTTGTTCGGAGCACCGGCTCCAGACACACAGGCTCAGCAGCCATGGCTCACGAGCCCAGCCGCTCCATGGCATGTGGGATCTTCCCGGACCGGGGCACGAACCCGTGTCCCCTGCATCGGCAGGCAGACTCTCAACCACTGCGCCACCAGGGAAGCCCGGGCAGAGATATTTATATCTTGTTCACTTCTGTAGCCCCATCCCTGCTCTTGAGCAGAGCCAGACACAGTGGGCACTAAGTATTTGTTAAATGAATGAATGAATGAATGAGTGAATAAGGGCTATTGGGCAGCCTGAATGAGAGGGGTAAGGGAAGCACTCTTACAGCTGCATTCAGTTGGCGCTCCATAAAGGTTTTGATAATTCATACCACGTGTTGTTTATGGCCCAGGTTTTGGAGCTAGGTGTACCTAAGTTCAACTTCTGCCTCAGCTGCTGATTTCTGTGTGACACAGGGCAAGTGGCTTTCCTTCTTTATGCCTCAAATCCCACCTTTGCAAAAGGCAGTTAATAATAGTTGAGAACTCATGCAAAGTGTTTGGCACCATGCTTACCAGGGTGTCAGTTCCCAAGACCCCTTGGCTTGTTATCAATTCAGCAAACCTTCATCGAATCCAGACAACTCGGTGGTATTGCACAGCCCTGGACCAGCTGCCTCAGTTGCCCCATACAGCCGTGCACACTGCACACAGCAGAGGGGACCCCTGACCTGGGATCCAGCTGTGTACCCTCTCCCAGAGCTGCAACTCTCCCAGGGGGGCACAAGGATGCTCTAAGGGCTAGCAGACCCCTCGGCAGCTGTGTAGTCTTAGGCAAGCAAGGGACTTCTTTGAGCCTCAGTTTCCTCATCTGTAAATGGGGATATTAATGGTTCCAGCCTTGAACCATTGTGGGGAGGAGGAAGCTCCTCAAAGGTGAGCAGCATGGGCTCGGCACGGTGTTAGGATTCAGCAAGTGTTAGCTTTTGTTATGATGCACCTCTTGGGGCTATAGCCATAAGCAAGACAGAAAGAGTCCTTGTCTTCAGGTAGTGAATATTCTGGGAGAGAGAGGAACATTAACAATCCCCCAAAGAGACATAACAATAAATTGCTATGAGACCCTGGAGAAAGAGATGAGGATGCTAGGAGAAAGATTACCAGGAAGGTGAAATTTGTCTTGGGGGTGCTTTTGAGGAAGGAAGGATGAGTTGGAATGAGCTCTGGGAAGGGTGGATGGAAGAGAAGTCCAGGTGGAGGGCGCAGCAGGGGCAACGTCCCGGAGGCAGAGGCACAAGTTTGGTGCATTGAAAGAACAGCGAGGAATAGAACTACCATGTGATCCAGCAATCCCACATGTCCAGGGCATATACCTGGACAAAACTATTATTCAAAAAGATACATGCGGGAGTCCCTGGTGGCGCAGTGGTTGAGAGTCCGCCTGCCAATGCAGGGGACATGGGTTTGTGCCCCAGTCCGGGAAGATCCCACATGCTGCGGAGCAACTGGGCCCACGAGCCACAACTACTGAGCCTGCGCGTCTGGAGCCTGTGCTCTGCAGCAAGAGAGGCCGCGACAGTGAGAGGCCCGCGCACCGCGATGAAGAGTGGTCCCCTCTCGCCACAACTAGAGAAAGCCCTTGCACAGAAACGAAGACCCAACACAGCCAAAAATAAATAAATAAATAAATAAATTTATTTATTTAAAAAAAAAAAAGGTACATGCACCCCTATGTTCATAGCAGCACTATTCACAATAGCCAAGGCATGGAAACAAAATAAATGTCCATCAACAGATGAATGGATAAAGAAGATGTGGTACATATATACAATGGAATATTACTCAGCCATAAAAAGAATGAAATAATGCCATTTACAGCCACAAGGATGCAACTAGAGATTATCATGCTAAGTACAGTCAGAAAGAGAAAGACAAATACCCTATGATACCACTTATATGTGGAATCTAAAATATGAACCTATCTACAAAACAGAAACAGACTCACAGACATAGAGAACAGACTTGTGGTTGCTGAGGGGGACGGGGGTGGGGGAAGGATCGAGTGGGAATTAGGGGTTGGTAGATGCAAACTATTACATTTAGAATGGATAAACAACAAGGTCCTACTGTATAGCACAGAGAACTACATCCAATCTCCTGGGATAAACCATAACGGAGAAGAATATAAAAAAAGAATATATATATATATGTGTGTGTGTAACTGAGTCACTTTGCCGTACAGCAGAAATTAGTACAACTTTGTAATCAATTATACTTCAATTAAAAAAAAAAAGAAAGAAAGAAAGAATAGGGACTTGCCTGGCTGTCCAGTGGTTAAGACTCCGTGCTTCCAATGCAGGGGACTCGGGTTTGATCCCTAGTTGGGGAATTAAGATCCCACATGCTGCATGGTGCGGCCAAAAAATTTAAAAAGGGGGACTTCCCCGGCAGTCCTGTGGTTAAGACTTCTCTTTCCAATGCAGGGGGTGCGGGTATGATCCCTGGTCAAGGAGCTAAGATCCCACATGCCTCGGGGCCAAAAAACCAAAACATAAAACAGAAGTAATATTGTAACAAATTCAATAAAGGCTTTAAAAATGGTCCACATCCAGGAATAAAGACACAGACGTAGAGAATGGACTTGAGGACACAGGGAGGGGACGAAGTAAGAGAGTGGCATGGACATATATACACTACCAAATGTAAAATAGCTAGCTAGTGGGAAGCAGCAACATAGCACAGGGAGATCAGCTCGGTGCTCTGTGACCACCTAGAGGGGTGGGATAGGGAGGGTGGGAGGGAGACGCAAGAGGGAGGAGATATGGGGACATATGTATCTGTATAGCTGACTCACTTTGTTATACAGCAGAAACTAACACACCATTGTAAAGCAATTATACTCCAATAAAGATGTTAAAAAAAAAAAAGGTCCACATCAAAAAATAAGTAAATAAAAAAGAAAGAAAGAGAGAAATGACATCGAGGAGACCAGGGTGGCTGGGGCAGTGACAGGGGGAAGGGCAGGGAGATGTGGAGGCGGGAGGGCGGATGTGGGGTGCAGGGTTTAAACAGAGAAGGGCCATGATCTGGGAGCAAGTTGATAGATCCACTTAGGTGGAGGCGATCATAGGAAGAACTAGCATTTACTGAGTGCCAACTGTGTGCCAGGTAATGAGCTAAGGGTTTTCTTTTGAATCCTCCCCCAGGGATCCTGGAATACCACCCTTCCTATTGTCCCTCACCTTAGAGTGGTTTTCTTTTTTTTCCTGGTTGAACTTTTGATGATTTTACAGGTGAGAAAACTGACGCCCAGAGAGGTTGAGTAAGTTGCCCCAAGGCACACAGCCAGCAGATGGCAGAGTCAGAATTTGAACCCAGGCATCCATGCCTCTCTAGGTAGGATGAAGTCTCTGGCTCCAGATTCCACTGCCCTCGACTCACCTCTGGTCCCAGGTGCTCTCCCGGCTGGGCTGCATGGCTGTCTACCTCCTCAATCACCTCTGCTTTGGCCAGTGCTCCTCTTTCTACATCCCCGTTCATCCTCTGCAACAGCTGTGTGCCCGCTCGCATGCGCTGGGCCCCTGTGGTCCTCTGGTGTTGGGCGGGCAGCCCAGCCTCCCGTCGCCAGGTGAAGGATGTCCACTGTGTGGGTTGAGGGGTGTCAGTGCGGACCAAAGGCATGAGCTGAGCATCACGAATGGACACACAGATGCATGCACCTTGGAGAGACGGGGGAAGACAGGCTGAGAAAGACGCCAACCTGGACCATGCACACTGGGTCCAGCAACCAGGGACGCAGGGACAGCCAGATAGGTCTCCAGAGTCCTCACCCTGCTCCTAGGGACACCAGGCACAGCCCCAGCCATGGGGGTGGACCACTCATAGTCAAAGTGCATATTTATTGAGTACTCACTGTTTGCCAGACCCTGCTCTAAGTCTTTGATAAGTACTAACTCATGTCATCCTCAGAGCAGCCCCATGACATAGGGGTTAGTAGCATCACATTTTACGGAAAAGGAAACGTAGGTCCCAAGAGGCAAAGTCACTCACTCAGAGTCACACAGCAGTGCATGGCAGAGGTGGCATTTGAACCCAAGGCATGGTGGTTTCTATTTTTAACCACCAAGCTGGACCTCTTCTCCCAGAATGAGTCAAAGACTTTCCCAGCTGCAGGGAAGATAGATGGCCCCACCCAGACTAGGAGACACAGTGGTCCTAGCGATCCCGAGAAACCAAGGCCGGGAGGCAGACGGAGCTCCTGGGGGAAACCTGGGCTCCCCGAGTCAGAGGCAGGACACACGTGCCCCCAGCTGCCCCTCCTGTCCCTCCACCCCCCTGAGTCTCCACACAGCACCATGCCCAGTGTGGCATTTATAGGAACCATAAAGGTTGGCCAAGTTTATTTGTGTGTGTGTGTGTGTGTGTGTGTGTGTGTGTATTTCTCCAATTGGGGTTTCCTGGGAGTGGGTGGCCCTGTGCTGGAGCGTGGGCATCAGGGGGTGCTCCTTCCTCAGCTGGGCTCAGGGTCTGCAGTGGACGAGGGCAGCCTGGCTTTGGGCGGCTGGAACCAGGGCCCTAGCAGATGGGCCCGTCTGGCACAGACGCGGGGACATGTGGCGCTGTCAGGGTTGCCTCCAAATGCCCCCCGGAGCGCAGGGCGGGGGGCTGGCCAGGCCCCCCTCAGCCTTCTTCCTGCCTCAGGAAGGAAGGCTCCAGGTGAGGGGAGCAGGAGGCAGGGACCCGAGGAAACAGATGGGCCAGCGGGGCGTGGGAGCCTGTGACCTCTGACCTCACAGGCCTGCACAGAGGGGTGGGAACAGGCCAGGCAGGCAGCTCCCAAGCCCCTGCTCCAAGGGTCCTGAAGTGGGGGGTGATCACCAGGGGCCCACAGAGTAGGGGGCATACTCTCCCTCCTCCCTCCAGGGTTCTGTGCCAACCCCAAGCAGTGTCCGAGTGGGCAGCTCAGCCCTGGCACCGCGAGCACCCCTCTCTCTGGCAGGCATGAGGCGCCTGCTTTCCCCCCCTTCAGCTGTGCCCACCTCCTGCCAGCCGGGGAGCCAGCTGGGAACCTTGGTGCCAGGGGGGCCCCCAGAGTCCCTGCCCCCTCCCGGGCAATGCCAGCCGGCCCCCACCCCCGCCCCTCAGGCCCAGTAATGGGTGGGTAATGAGTGCTGGGGGAGCGGGGGAGGGGCGGGGAATGCAGGTGCCACAGGCGCTGGCACAGGGGCCGATAATCAGGTTTGCCAACGCCATCTGTCACCGCGCGAGCATCTGGGGCTCAAGGTGACCCTGTCACCCTCAGTTACAATTACGAGTTTGGCATCTGTATTAAAGCCCGCCAGCCGGCCAGGCGGGGTGGGGGGGCTGGGGTGGGCATGAGGGTGTGCGGTGAGCCCCGTCCCGGGGGTCCCGTTCCCAGGGGCTGCGTGGCTGCCAAGGCACGGGGCTTCTCTGTGCCTGGGAGAGTTCGTGTGTGTGTGCGTGTGTGTGTGTGTGCCAGCCTCCACAATTCTGTGAGTGAGCGTATCTGCGTGCAGGGCTGGGAGTCATGGGTTTTTGTGTGTCTCTGGGCGTGGTGGTTGTGTGTCTGAGCTTGGGGATGGCCAGGGCTGGGGGGCAGCTCTGAGATCATGTGGGTACACAGATGGGCGTGTGTTCATGTGCTGGGAGAGGAGCGTATGGCAGTTCCAGGTGTCTTTGCATGATGGTGTGTCTGGGTGAATGCATGATGGTGTGTGTGATGGTGTGTGATGGTGTGTGTGTGTGTGTGTATGTGATTGTGCATGTGTATCTGAGGGTGTGTGGTGCTGTACACCTGATGGTCACAGGCTGTATGTTTGGGTGTGTGGGTCTGTGTATAAGATCCTGTCGAAGTGTGTATGTGTGTGTTTGTGAATGCACAGGGGCAGCAGCTGGGAGAGGCTCTGTGTAGTCACTGCAGGGCTCCTCTCCTGCCCCTTCGGTTTGTTCCTGTCCTCACCAACCCTTGCTGGCAGGGCTCTAATGTGGGGGACTTGGGGAAGGCAGGGAGCTGGCTCTGAGGAGGGCTCTGGGTTCTTGGATCTGGATTCTGGGTTCTTGATTCTACTTCTTTTTTTTTTTTGGCCACGTCATGTGGCCTGTGGGATTTTTAGTTCCCTGACCAGGGATCGAACCCGGGCCCTGGCAGTGCCAGCGCCAAGTCCTAACCACTGGACTGCCAAGGAATTCCCGCTGGGTCCTTGATTCTAGATTCTGGAGGATAGGATCTAGATTTTTGGATTGTGGATTGTGGACGCTTGGACCTGGATTTTAGATTCTGGGTCCTGAGTTCTTGGATCTGGATTCTAGATCTTGGTATCTCGGATCTAGATTCAGATTCTGGATTCTGAGATCTGGTTTTAGATTCTGGGATTTGGATTCCAGGCTCTGAATTCTGGGTCTGGGTCCTTGCTGCTGGACCTTGGCTTCCCGTCTCTGGGTTCTGTGTTGACTTTGGCCTGTCCTCTCTGCCCTTCTATTCAGGTAGGGCCACTGGGCTGCCCACCATCCCCTGCACCCCCCCACCCCCTAACCTGATGGGTGCAGATAACATGCATGGCCACCAGGGGACACCCTTGGTTCAGATTTGGGCCAAGCTGACCTAGACATGGAGGAGTTAGGGGACCACCCTAGTCCGGATTGACACGGCTCTTTGAGGGGGGACGGGGACAGGGCTTCACTTCCCTCCCCACCCCTTCCAGTGTTGGCCGGTGACTGATGTCTGTCAAACATGGAGAACTGGACCCAGCATCCCCATAGATACCAATCTGGATCAAGGGACAGGGTGCCCAGTCAGTGGGTCAGATTGGGCAGAAGGCATGTGTGTGTCTGTGAAGGTGTCAATGAATGTAGGGAAACATCTGTGCATGTGTGAGGGTGCACCGTGTGTCTGGAGTGGCCACATATAACAGCGTTCCCATGGAGCATGAGCCCGTGTGGTGGTGTGTGGCCATGTGTTACCGGGACTAGGTGTCTGGCAGGATCCTCATGTGACGGCACATCTAGGGGCCGTATCTATAACTGTGAGTGCCACTCTGGTGTGGGGCACTAGTCCCTGTCATATGGCTGTGTCTGCCTATGACCATGACTGGGTCACTGGGTGGCTGTGGGTGTATTTGTGGGTGTCACTGTGCTCATGAGGGTGTCTTGGAGTGTCTGGGGGAGGGTCCCCGAAGACTGGGAGCCTGTGTCAATGATGTCTTGTCAGTTGGGGTGTGAAGATGTGTAGGAAAGAGGTGTGCCTTCTGAGAGTGTCGAACCAGGGAAGGCGTGTGGTCCAAAAGGGGGTCGAGAAGGGACCAAGGTGGGTGGGACCAGAGGCACTCAGAGCATTTCCTTCATTTCTTCCCTAAGTATGTCTGACCCTCGTTCTCACTGGGTTTCTCTATGGCAGTGTCTCTTCCCACTTCTCAGCATCTCTGACTTTGTCTGTGGGTCCTGGTCCTCTGCCTCATCCTGTTGCCAGGCACAGTGTGCTCTGTGGGTATTGGCTGGCTGGTCCTGTCTCCCACTCCAGCCCTTCATCTTCCATCTCCATCTTCCGACTCTGCCTCCCTTTGGCCCTTTCCCTCTGTCCTTCCTTATTTGTGCGTTTCTCTTGCAGGTCTCTCCCATCTCTCTTTCTCCATCTCTGTCCCCCTCTCGGCTTCTAAATGTCTTTGCCCATCTACAGCTCTGTCTCTCTCCATCTCTTGTCTCTCCCCGTCTCTATCTCTCCCAGTCTCTGCCGGCTCGAGTGGGTCCGGGTGGGTCCGGGACAGCCCGGCCCGGGCGCCGCTGCGAACAATGCCCCATTCACGCGGCCAGCCAGCGCCATGGCAACGCGCC